CCATTGAATGAAGAAAATCAACATTTTGATTGAATTTAGGTTAACTTGAGAAGTAATTTATCTTTTATAACTTAGAGAACTTTTCTAAGTTATGGAATTTAACCATTTTCAAGCTAAACTTTGAAAAATCATAACTTCTTCAATATTTATTAGAAATTTGCAAACTTTATCAAAAATTCACTATTTTGAGAGATATTCAGCTTTGGACTTTTGGTCGTCATGAAAATTATAGGTCATTTTTCAATTCAGCCAGTTTTTGTGGGAACTTTTGGGGATCTTAATGGTTTCAAATGAAATTTCTCCTAGCACGAAAGTTGTAGAACATCTCAAGACCTTTTCAAAAATAATTGGTTCATCAATTTATTCAAAGAATTGAGGAAGTTACGCATTTTAGAAGTTTAGGTCATTTTTGTGAAATTTTCAAGTCACCCACGTTGCAATTTCCCTCAAACTTGATTTCTAGCCATTTTTTATTCAAATTGAGTCCATAACCTATTTAGAACGTGAGTAAGTCCATGATACCTTCTATTTGCACCCATGCACTTTGTGTACTTGGTTTCCATTCAAAAACCTCAAAATTACCAATAATAGCAATGTGTAAAAATCTCTCCCCAAAATGAACAAAACTTGCACCCAAAACAACATGAAACACAAACTTGGGCATCACTCCATATTTTAGCCAAAACTTCCAATTTCACCCTCCAACGAATTTCTTTGCAAAATGACCACTCTACCCTCTTCTACACTCTCTATATAAGGCCCTACAACTCTCTTTTCATTCACACTCTCAGATTTGGAAAGCTTAAATAGATCTAAAAGAAATTGGTCCTTAAGCATTCCTTTCTTCAAATCTTTTGATTTTTTTGAGATTTTCTTCATTTTTCATCTTCATTAAAATCCATTGAGGAAGATCATGTAAGGGGGAGTGTATTTCTGAAGCTATTTTGAGCTCAAGGTGCAGTGGCCACTTTCCACTTGGTAAGCTTCTCCACACTTTATCTCTTGCATATAGATCTGAAAATTTGATTAGGGTTGTTAACATACATTACATCTGAAGGCCTTTCAAAGTGGCAAGTGGAGCTAGGCTCAAAACTGTGTGTAGTTGATGTTTGAACTTTGTGTAAAAAGTGTGTATTCGTGAAATTGTTGTCTATTTTTCTCTATGATACATTGATAATTTATGGAATTTCTTGATAGCATGTTGTTCTTCTCATTTTGTACTATAATTTTGGTTCAAGAATTATTTGATTTGTTTGAGAATTGAGTGAGATATTACATGATAAAGTTTGATAAAAAAATGTTTGCAAGCTTTCATGACCTCACAAGCTTGTTTGCAGCTTTGACAACACCACACAACACAATGTCTTTTCCTTTATGGACGGTTTCTCTGGCTACAATCAGATCAAGATGGCACCTGAAGACATGGAGAAGACAACCTTTGTTACACAGTGGGGCACCTTCTGCTACAAGGTGATGCCATTTGGGTTGAAGAACGCTGGGGAAACTTATCAGCGAGCTATGGTAGCTCTGTTCCATGACATGATTCACCATGAGATATAGGTTTACGTCGATGACATGATAGCCAAGTCTCAAAATAAGGAAGAAAATCTTGATCATCTACAAAAGCTGTTTGATAGGTTGAAGATGTACAAGCTGAGGTTAAATCTGAACAAGTGCACCTTCGGGGTAAGGTCTGGAAAGCTGCTAGGATTCATCGTCAGTGACAAAGGTATTCAGGTAGACCCTGCAAAGAGTATGTACTGACACCTAAATTATATTGCCCAATTACATTGCCCGCACTGAGAAGGAAGTTAGAGGTTTCTTGGGACGCCTAAATTACATTGCCCGATTCATTTCACATCTGACTACTATTTGTGAGCCGATCTTCAAGCTTCTAAAGAAAGATCAAGTGGTAAAGTGGAATGACGAATGACAGGTAGCCTTTGACAGAATCAAACAATATCTCCAAGAGCCTCATATTCTAATGCCTCTTACTGAAGGAAAACCTTTGATTATGTACTTAATAGTGTTAGATAATTCAATGGGGTGTGTGCTGGGGCAGCATGATGAGTCTGGTCGAAAAGATCATGCAATATACTACCTTAGAAAAAAGTTTACCGACTGTGAAACACGATATTCACTGCTCGAGAAAACTTGTTACGCTTTGGCATGGGCTTCTCGCCAACTAAGACAGTATATGTTAACCCACACTACTTTGTAGATATCTAAGATGGATCCAATCAAGTTAATTTTCGAGAAGCCCGCTCTCTCCGGAAGGATAGCAAGGTGGCAAATGATCTTAACCGAGTACGACATCCAATACAAAACCCAAAAAGCAATCAAGGGAAGTGTTTTAGCTGATCATTTGGTGCATCAGGCCATGGACGACTACCAGTCCATGAATTTCGAGTTCCCGGATGAGAAAATTATGTTAGTAACCGACTGTGAAGAACCTGGACCGGATGAAGGAACTGAGGAAGGATCCCGATGGTATATGTATTTTGATGGAGCCTCAAACTCACTGGGTAACGGCATTGGCATTGTAATCATATCTCCCAAGGGCTGTCATACTCTGTTCACCGCCCAATTTTGTTTCAACTGTACCAACAATATGGCGGAGTATGAAGCATGTATCATGGGTCTTAAAGCTGCTGTTGACCTAAGGATCAAGTTCTTGAGTGTATTCGGGGATTCCTCTTTGGTGATAAGTCAGATCAAAGGCGAGTGGGATACGAAGCACCCAAACCTTATTCCTTACAAAGAGTATGTACTGACACTGCTGCCGCATTTTGAAGAGATCACTTTTGAACATTTCCCGCGAGAAGAGAATCAGTTAGCAGACACGCTAGCTACTATGTCGTCAATGTTCAAGGTCAGGTGGGACAATGAAGCTCCCCTAATCTCTATTGAGAGGTTGGATGAACCGGAATACTGCTGTGAGATCGATACTGAGGAGGTAGCCGATAAACCTTGGTCTCAGGAGGTGAAAAGGCATATCGAGGCTCAAGAATACCCCGAGGGGGAATCTATCAACGACAATAAATTTCTGAGAAGGTTTTCTGCAAAGTCCTTCCTCAGCAACGGAATCCTCTATAAGTGCAATCATGACTCTACCTTACTACGGTGTGTAGACAAGAGCGAAGCAGAGAGGATCATGGCAGACCTACACGAAGGTACCTTTGGAACTCATTCCAATGGACATACCATGGCAAAGAAGATCCTACTGGAAGGATACTATTGGTCCACTATGGAAGCCAATTGTTATCAGCATTCTCGAACCTGTCATAAGTACCAAAGTTACACTGATAAGGTACATGTACTACCAGTTCCCTTAAATGTTTTGACGGCTCCCTGGCCCTTTGCAATGTGGGGCATTGACATGATCGGCAAGATCATACCTACCATGTCCAATGGGCATCGCTTCATCCTAGTGGCCATTAGTTACTTTACGAAGTGGGTTGAGGCTACCTCCTTTGCTGTAGTTACTAAGAATGTGGTGGAACAGTATGTAAAGCATAACCTGGTTTGTCGTTATGGTATCCCTGAGAGAATCATCACAGACAATGGTACCAATCTCAACAATACAATGATCACCGAACTCTGTAAACAGTTCAAGATTCAGCATCACCATTCTTCTCCTTACCGGCCGAAGATGAATGGGTTTGTTGAAGCTGCTAACAAGAATATCAAAAAGATCATACAGAAGGTGACGGTGACATATAAAGAATGGCACGAGATGTTACCGATTTCTCTTCACGGGTACCTTGTTTCAGCATGTACATCGACAGGGAAAACACCCTATTCTCTGGTATATGGCATGGAGGTTGTCCTACCCATAGAGGTTCAAATCCCTTCTCTACGGATTATGAAGGATGCGGGTTTGAGCAAAGACGATTGGATCCAGACTCGACTTGATCAATTGAACTTAATCGACGAGAAAAGACTTACTGTTGTCTGCCATGGTCAAATGTATCAGAAACGAATGATCAAGGCCTTCAATAAGAAAGTCAGACAACCAGTGTATCAAGTAGGGGATCTGGTAGTTAAGCGCATTATACTATCACAAGGTGATTCCATGGGAAAATGGACTCCCACCTATGAGGGACCATTTGTAGTCAAGAACATATTTTCCGGTGGAGCCATGATTCTAACCACCATGGATGGTGACGACCTTCCACACCCTGTTAATGCGGACATAGTGAAAAAATGCTATGCATAATAAAGACCCGCTAGGTTGACATACCTAGGCAAAAATAAGGGCATCCCGACGAACCAAAAGGGTTCGGGCAAAAATTAGGGATAAAAATGAAAAAATCTATACACCCGGTAAGTCGAAAACCCGAATGGGCGGCTTAGGCAAAAAAGGGTATCTCGATGGACTGAAAACCCGAAAGGGCGGTCCAGGAAAAAGTTAGGGATTAAAGCGTACCACTATGTCCCATTGGATCACCTTGCGATCAGACCCCAGTAATCAGATATCAAGCTCAAACGGTACCGATCAATCCAGTCAGCTTCAGACAACCAGCAAAGTGATGAGATGCACGAAGACATAGGGGCAATATCAGAATTGAAACCCAATGGGATCACTACACATAGCTGTTTTCTTTTTATACACAATTTCTGTAAGGGTTAATACCTATTTTCACCCCTGACATATGGGGTGTATTTGAAAAACCCCCTGCCAAAAAAAAAGTTCCAATTGTTACCTTGACAAATTTTAAAAGTTTCAGTTTTTACCTTGAGAATGCCACATCACCTAAAAGGCTGATGTGGCTTATATTTTTGTTACATTTGTAAGTTTTTGTTATGCCATGTCACACAATACCAAATAAAATGTCCAGAATGCCCTTTCTACATTTTTCTTAAAATCCCAAATTATTTGGCAAATGCTATGTTTCAATTCAGACCCTCCAAATTAGGGCGCAACCATCTTCATCTCAGCAACCCAACTTTTGCTTTCCTCTTCATCTTTAAGTTTTCTTTGATTTCATAAACTTGAGTCAACCAAATTGTTCTACTTCAAGCTTATCTTCAAATGGTAGAGTAACTCCCAAATGCGGCCACAATGTCTCCATGAAGTTATTTGTTTCAAAATCGGTTGCAAATCCCGGGAGAAAATACTGGAAGTGTAAATTCTGGGGTAAAGGAGATGACTGCAACGCATTTGTTTGGGATGATGAATTTTCTGATGATTTCGGTGATAACGGCCATTCGGATGTAGTTTCAGTAGAACTGATGAGCAAACTGGAGAGAGATATCGCACTAAAGATGGAAGCCATGGAGAAAAAAATGGATGAGTTAAAAAAGAAGCTGAATTATGTTTTAGTTGGGTTTATTTGTCTTTTGGTTCATTTCTTACTTAGTTCATGTAAAAATTCATGAAGTTGTGGCTTATGTTCTAGGAAGTTGTAACCTATGTAAAATTTAGTTCATGAATTATATTTCTTTGTTATGGAATATGGAATATATTACTCTCATGTGATACAAAATGACTTTAACATTGTCAAGCAAATCTGTTGTGATACATAGTTAAGTACATCTGTGATACAAAATGACAATAACATGATATATAACTTAAGCCAAGCATGTTCTGATAATAAGTCAGAGTAACAAAATGACACATGAAACTTTCAAATTGAATTTTACAAAATAGCACACTATGTGCACAACTACTGATCAATGCCCTTCCTCTTCTTCCTTGATATCTTCTTTGAGGTACTACCACCAGTTTCTTCACCTATGGTCAAAGGTGCATCAGGTGTTGATCCAGGCCCACCATGTCTTTTGGCATTCCTCACTTCCTTCAATCTTTCAATGACTCTCTTTCTTGATCGCTTCCAAGGCACGGCCACGGCCGTTTTCCTAGCTGAAGGTTTTTTGACATTAGTAGCAGCAGGGTCAGGTTGCATTGCAGCAGGTTGTGAATCATGTGTTGGGGGAGGTTGCATTGCAGCAGGTTGTGATTCATGTGTTGGGGGAGGTTGCATTGCAGCAGGTTGTGATTCATGTGTTGGGGGAGGTTGCATAGCAGTAGGTTGTGTGGGATTGTTAACTTGTGATTGTTGTTCTTCATAAAGATCCATCATATTATTCAGCAATGCATCCATCTCTGGGCCTTCATCCACAGTTCCACCTCCAGTTTCAGTTGTATCAACATTTGCATCCATCTTTGGGCCTTCATCCACAGTTCCACCTCCAATTGCAGTTGTATCAACATTTGCATCCATCTCTGGGTCTTCATCCACAGTTCCACCTCCAGTTGCAGTTGTATCAACATTTGCATCCATCTTTGGGTCTTCATCCACAGTTCCACCTCCAGTTGCAGTTGTATCAACATTTTCATCCATCTCTGGGCCTTCATCCACAGTCCCATCAGATTTTTTTGACACTTTGGTCCTGGGTGTCTTTCTCTGCATTATTCAGAATTGTCTTTCTCAATGATTTCCCTTCGATCTCCACCCTATTCCCACTAACTGGAACAACTACCTCCACTTGTTCAAATTGCTCTTCTTCTACGTCAATTACTCTTTCCTCTTCACTGTCATTGAAACATTGGCTTGCATCAACATAGTCACCAGTACTATCATCTCCACTAGAGGTGCTGAAGTCATCAACATTAGGTACCAGAACCTTGGTCATCATGTCTTCTACACCGTGCTCTACCCAAAGATCGTCGTGAACCCTACAAGACATACAATGCTTAGCAACTTCTAAAGCTCTGGCATCATCAACAACATTTGTAAACCCTTCATCCGTTTAAGGAATCTTTCTCCATAGCCTAAAACCTTCATAACCCCAATCTTTAACCAGACTAACAGCTTCAAAAAAGCTCCATTTATCTTCGTCCTGACCTTCAACAGTAGTCTCACTACCTCCTCTATAATACGTATGGCCTTCTTGCACGAAACTTCCCACATGATGAAACACTAAATTAAACACACCCATTTGCAAGGATGAAGAACCCTAATCGCAGGGTCTGAATTGAAACTAGCTTTTTTTGTAAAATAATTTTGCAAACAAATGAAGATGGATGGCTGCGCCCTAATTTGGAGGGTCTAAATTGAAACATAACATTTGCCAAATAATTTGGGATTTTAAGAAAAGGGCATTCTGGACATTTTATTTGGTATTGTGTGACATGGCATAACAAAAACTTACAAATGTAACAAAAATATAAGCCACATCAGCCTTTTAGGTGATGTGGCATCCTCAAGGTAAAAACTGAAACTTTTAAAATTTGTCAAGGTAACAATTGGAACTTTTTTTTTGGCAGGGGGGTTTTTCAAATACACCCCATATATCAGGGGTGAAAATAGGTATTAACCCTTTCTGTAATAATTTCCATCTTTACGGAGAAGTTCTCTTACTAAAGCGTCAGCCTCCTTGTAAAAAAATGCCTGTTATAGGCAAATTTCAAATCAATATAAAGCATCTTTTGAGTACAAAACTCTGTGTTTGTTTTTCCTTTTTCTGTTTTGTTGTGCAAAAAAGTCCAATGTTTTATTCTTGACATATGCATTTGAATATGATTACTGTTCACAAATATCTGCATATAAAATGAAAAGACAGTTACTAAGAACGCAAAGAAAATGGTACAAAACCTAAATACCAACAGTTACCCCTTCCTTCCTGGTACAAGGGGCAGAGACAGTTGGAAGCGAAGTCACTATCACGTATAAGCCAGTGATATCTATATTCCCCGCAGAGCCGAGACAACCAAGGTTCAACCTCCGTATCCCCAAGAAGGAATTCCTTCCCCAGCGGGTTCCTTTAGAAAGCTGATATCTGCATTCCTCAACCGAGTTTTATAACCATGAGCAGTTTATAAAGCCATCTCCCGAGCAGAGTTTATTTCTATAACAACGGAAGCTCAATCTACAACAAATCTCTTCTCTACGGCAATGGAAGTTCATCCCCAACCTAGTTTATTTGTCCAGATCAGCAGATCTTCCAACAGAGTATCTCTCTTCCCCACTGAGTCATTCCCCCGCAGGATTATTCTTAGACAGAATCTCTCTCGGCAGAATATTCTTAAGAAGAAAGGATATAAATCTCCAGCTAATCATCTTCGGTAACTATCCCCAGCGGAAACGAAGAACTCAACTCCTTATACTCTCCAGTAGCAGTCCAAGATTTATTTTCCCCGGCTAGAGAATATCATAATGACATTACATATCCATACATCATGGCATGCGCATACGTATTATACATCACAATCTCATTTATTTTGAGAACATCATTACTCAATGCATTTCATGCATCATGATATTTCATATGACTAACTCTCTACCTTTCAGAGAAAGATGCAATCAAGTTCTCACGATTTCTCTCTAGTTCAGTCAAACCGACACTAAGATTTATATTCTAGTTGAAGATGTTTTAAGAATTTCGTCTGGGTCAGCCGAATCTCTGCTAACATTCCCCTGATTTTTATGCCAGTCAAAGTTAATCCGAGACCTCTCCCGGGATCAGTCAAATCGATACTAAGATTTCTCTCCCAGTTGAAGCTCTCACAAGTTTTTTGTGGTTCAATCAAACCGATACTAAGGTTTCTATTCTAGTTGAAGATGTTCTAAGACTTTCGTCTGGGTCAGCCGAATTTCCGCTATGATTCCCCTGATTTCTATGCCAGTAAAAGTTAATCCAATACCTCTCCCGGGATCAGTCAAATCGATACTAAGATTTCTCTCCCAGTTGAAGTTATCACAAGTTTTCCCTGGTTCAGTCAAATCGATACTAAGATTTCTATTCAAGTTCAAGCTATGAAGCCCAGAAATCGACCGAATAATATCTTGATTTCTCTAAAATACTACGAAGCCTGGAATCGACCAGAAAGTGGCATATCTTAAATTCAAACTATGAAGCCCGGAAATCAACCGGATAACAGCTTAATTTCCCTATCATATTGTGAAGCCTGGAAATCGACCGTATAACAGTACAAGATACTATGAATCCTGGAATCGACCAGATAGTGGTATATCTCGGATTCAAGCTATGAAGCCTGGAAATCAACCGGATAATATCTTGATTTCTCCAAAATACTATGAAGCCTAAAATCGACCAGATAGTGGTATAAGACACCGGGAAGCCTGGCAGACGACCAGATAACGATATAAGACGCTGTAGAGACTAGAGCATAACCAGATAGTGGCAAGAGACACTGAAACCTGTAACACGACCAGATAACAGTACGAGGTACTATGAAGCTTGGAATTCGACCAAATAGCAGTTTACTCGGCCAATTACTATGAAGCCCGGAAATCGACCGGATATTTGTATGCCTTAAATTCAAGTTGAAACCCGGATGTGACCGGATAACCACTTAATTCCTTCTGAAGCCTGGAGCACGACCAGATAAGAATTGAGAAATTGCAAAGCCTGGAGCACGACCAAATAGCAAGTGTAATCTCATCTTCTCAATAAGTCACTGTGAAACCTGGAGCACGACCAGATAGCAGTTAATATTATTATCCCTAGAAAATCACTGTAAAGCCTGAAGTACGACCATATAGCAGTTCACTTTCACCTCCTCAACTAAGAGATGATTCCCAAGTAGAGTAACGGACAACTGAAACTCCTAAATTCTATTTCTACCAAGACAGAGACAAACATTCCTCAGCAGATTCCTCCTCAACGACAGGAACAAGAATTCTCATCAAAGGAATATCTCATGAAATCAACATCCTCTAGATGGCATCTTTAAGCCCATCTCCGACGATTCTCCGGCATATCTTTCGGATGGCATCTTTAAGCCCATATCCGGCGACCTTCCGTCATCTCCTCCAAATGCCATCTGTAAGCCCATTCCCGATACTACCTACACAGTGCAGCACCATCTCACACGAGTGCAAATTTTTGGGCACTTAGTGTTCAATCATCTTCCACCTTCAGATTACGAAAGGCAGACAAGCCAATCTACATCCTCAGGTTTAAGAAGATTGAACAGGGGCAGCTGTTGTACCCCAAAATTTCCCCTCTCATTTTACTCAACACATGCCCATTGAGATCCCCAACTTGCTCAAGGATGCCCAAGAGTCGACCAGACAAACTCTCTCCTAAGGCAATGTACCTCAAATTAGGTTTTCCATTTTCATCAGGGTGTGGGAGCTCCAAAGGTCCCAAATTCTTTCCATGGTCCTAATATGTTCTCAATATCATCCATGTCAAGTTTCATGCCTTACACAAGAAGTTTGCTCAGTCAATTGCCCAGATGCCTAAAAATCAACTATACTAGGTCAAAAGTCAACTGTGGCCCACATACAGTCAAACTTTAAGATTT